ACTTCCCAGAGGCTGACTGTGGCGATCAAGTGCAATGATGTATGAAAAATGCTTAAAAATGTCTGACATGTGTTATCTCATTAGCATGATCTATTTTCCACCTGACTCCAATGTGATAAGATGTCATTTATGCTTTAGTTAGCTTCAACACCCAGCATCTCATTTTATTAACAGCCTGCTGGGGGACACACGTGCTTCTCTGTGGCTGGGATGGCTGCTGTCTGCAGGGGCCAGACTTCTCCTCCTGTTGATTCTGTCATGAGACCTCAGAAGTACAATGAGCGGTGAGCACGAAGGGCCTGAAGATGTTCTCTGGATGGCCCAGTCTCAGCGACAATCAAGGGTCCCAGGCTTGTCCTGAGCAATCCTGCAACCTCCTCTTGCAAAGCAAAGCTTCCTTAGAATCCTGAGACTAATGAGGAACACTCTCTCCTCCCTTCATAAGCTCTTTCCTATCTGAACATCTTCCCATCCTTCCCCTACCTTTACGACCCCCAGACGAGAAGAGCCATAGGGCCTGTCAGCATTCCTGTGGCATTGGAAGTGCTGTTCTGGGAGAGAGGGCACTGCTTTTCTTTTTTTAATTTAAATTTTTATTTATTGATTGATTTACTTATTTATTATTTGTTGCCAGTCCTGGAGCTCAAATCTAGGCTTGGGCACTGTCCCTGAACTCCTTTTTGCTAAAGGCTAGCACTCTACCAGCACTTCCAGCTTTTTCTGTGTTAATTGGAAATAAGAGTCTCATGGACTTTCCTGCTTGGGCTAGCTTTGAACCTTGATCCTTAGATCTCAGCCTCCTGAGTAGCTAGGATTACAGGCATGAGCCACTGGTGCCTGGCTTCTGTGAACATTTAAAATACGATTTATCAAAACAAACTCTAGGCCTGGCACCGTTGGCTCATGCCTGTAATCCTAACTACTCAGGAAGCTAAGATCTAAGGACCGCTGTTCAAAGCCAGCCCGGGCAGGAAAGTCCATTGAGATTCTGATCTCCAATTAACTACCAGAAAACCAGAAGTGGCACTGAGGATCAAGTGGTAGAGGGCTCACCTTGAGCTGAAGAGTTCAGGGATAGAATTCAGGCCTAGAATTCAAGGCCTGAGACCAGCCACACACACCCCCCAAAAAAATGTTCACAGAAGTTATACCTTTGCATTCCTCCCCAAAGGTATCTTCTTTTAGTTTATTTGTATGTGGATGCCTAGGGTCCTATATAGGTTATCATGTCCAGTTATATTTTAGATCATGCTTCCACATATGAGAGAAAACATGTGCCACTTTCTGAGCTTGGCTTAACTCACCTCGCATGATTTGTTCTTGGTCCATCCATTTTCCTGCAAATGACATACTCTTATTCTTTGTAATAGATGAGTAAAATTCCAGTGTGTGTGTGTGTGTGTGTGTGTGTGTGTGTGTATCACATTTTGTTGATTATTCACTTATTGTAGGGCACCTAGACAGTTTCCATAGTTTGGTTGTTGTGAATAGTACAGCAATGAACATGGATGTGCAAGTGTCTTCATGGTATCCTGGCTTGTGATGTTCTCAGTAGGTACCCAGGAGTTGTATGACTAAGCCTTGGGGGAGATCTATGCTTAGGTTTCTTTCTCTTTTTTTCTCATTGTAGCTTCTTTTTAAATTTTTTAAATTGTCATTGTAAAGGTAATATATAGAAGGTTTACAATTCCGTACGTCAGGTGAAGAGTACATTTCTTTTTGGACCATATACCCCTTGCCTCGCTCTCTCCTAGTGTCTCCCTCTATGTTTAGTTTTTTGAGGACGCTCCAGACTGCTGTCCAGTGGTTGTACTCATTTACATTTCCACCAACAGTGCAGTATGGTCCCTCCTTCCTTACAACCCCACTAGCATATGTTGTTCAAATTCTTGATGTTGGCCAGTTTCCATGATGACTGTCTTTCTAGGTTAGTAACTATGTCCTGTGCTGTGCAGGAACTTTTCACTTTGGTGTAATCCCATTTCTCAAGTCTCTCTCTATTTACTGTGCAAAGAACACTTCTTACGGAGTCTCAGCCTTCCCTGGACCTCCCCTCTGAGGTACCCTCTCATCTCCTCTGCATTCAGAGCCCCAGACGTCTGAGTAGATCCCCTGTCCTTGGGCCAGCTCTGCCATCCTGGATAGAATTGAGTCTCTTCTCCTTTCCTGCCTCAGTGTCCACATCAAGGGACAAATATTCTGCTCCGGGATGATCCTGGGTTTTGAGCTGCAGGGGTTTGGGATGTATCTGGCTCCAGGAGCCTGGGGCTCCTTGAATCCAGCTGAAGATGGGCAATGGGCAGTCTTTGTGCACCTGGTTGGGGATCCCTGCAGCCTGAGCTTCAGCCAGGTTCATTGTAGAATAAAGACATTGGAGGTCCTCAGCGGGTTCTTGTAGAGGCAGCTTGGCCTCTGGCCTCACAAAGCAGGGGCCAGCCATTCCCATCACAGAAGCTCCTGAAAGCTGAGTTCCTAATCTTTCTTTCCTTCCTCACCCAAGATCCTGGTGCCTTATGGAGGGAAGGGAGGCCCTGGGCCTTCGTGATAGAGCCCAGGCATGAGGAGGGAAGTGGTTTGAGGCAATGCTGAGCTAGGCAGATCCTAGGAGGTTTGAATCAGACCAAGTGCTGTGTTGTGGGTGTGGGTGTCTGGGTGGGCGGGCATCTGGGTGAACAGGTGTCTGGTAGGGGTAAGGGGTGGAAATCTCAGAGAGGGTAAGGCCTCCAAGAAGTTCCCATTATAATGACCCCCTCCATCCCCAGAGTGTGTTTACATGAGACAGGGAAACAGATTTGGGAGTTCCTGTGGGTCTTGAGGTCAGCTTGAACTGTGGATCTGAGGTCCAGGGAAGGGAGGGAAAGCCAGAACAAGCGACTGTCATTGAAGAGAAGAGGAGAACAACAAAGAAAGGGGAAGCGGCCCTCCTTCTCAAGAGGTTGTGGGGCCTGGATACATGTGGGTGTCTGGGCAGCTTCCTCCTACCACAGGCCATGGAAAGAGAATGATGACATTAGCAGCAGTGGAGACTGAGGTCTGGAGGGGACCATGTGACAGTGCTGGCTGAGCCATTGACTTCCAGGCCACGCCCACAGAAAGCTCTGAGGTGGCAGCACTTAGTAAGAAGCAGAAAGGAAGCTTCAGCTACATTGTCTGGGCACCGATGGTGACAAAGCCATCAGAAACTGCTGGGTGCATTTTACACAGAGCTAGAGTGGCCATGTTAAAACCTCCATCAGATGATGTCCCGCCTCTGCTCTGAACCCTCCATCCATTCCCTCCTCAAGAAAAGCGTTGGCTTATGTCACGCCCCTCACCCGATTATCATTTATCTTCTCTCTTACCCCACAAAATGGAAACTACAGGAGGACAAGTAGGGTTAGCCAAAATACGTGGTGTGTGTGTGTGTGTGTGTGTGTGTGTGTGTGTGTGTGTGCACGCGCGTGTGTGAACAGGGGCTTAAACTCAGCAAGGGTTGATGCTCTATCACTTGAACCACAGCTCCAAAAAAAAAAAAACCATGTAAGCTTCTGGCTTTTTGGTGGGTAATTGGAAATAAGAGTCTCATGGACTTTCCTGCCTGGGTTGGAACCACAATCCTTAGATCTCAGCCATCTGAGTAGCTAGGATTACAAGTTTGAGGCCCTGCACCCAGAACAAAATAGTTGTTTAGCAGTCTGTGCTGACAGGTGCATGATGCTCAATAAGCATTTGCTGAATTTAGACCTCGTGTCGGTGACCAATGTACAGATGGGAAAGGGGAAGCCCAGGAGAAGAAATTTTGCAAAGCCTCCCAATTCCTGAGAAGTAGAGCCAGGACTGGAGCGCCCCCCCACCCCTACCCAGCCAACAAGTGCTCAGCAACTCTGGCCTGAGGTCTGAGAAACAGGCCATCCTGGGGAAGTCAACTGCCCCCGCCTGAGAAAGTGGACTTTGTGGAAAGGAAGTGTTGGAAGGCAAAGGCATCTGCTTCATCTCCCAGGCCTGCACTGCAGGCAGCTGCTCCAGAGGTGGCAGGGGTCTTGTCCTTCTGGTAACATGGCTTCCCTTCTCTGCCCTTCTACACTCTGGCTTCTGAAGCAGGGAGGTGCCGCTTCCCCAATCTCATTCTGGGGTGTGTTGCCCCAGCCAGAAGAAGTAGGGGGATGGGGTCATCTTACCATTGGGTAGGAGACACCTGGATTCATGTTAGCTAAGCTACTGGGTCTGTGCAAATCAAGTCTCCTGGTGCTCCAGGAGTCCCCCACTCCAGCAAGGGGAACTGAGATTGACTTCAGGGGCCAGGCCAGCAGCACTTCCCCTTTGCTAGTGCTTTTACCCACAAGACAGCTCCAGGAGCCTTGGTTCTTGGTAAAGCCAGAGTGCTGCTCACTGCTTCTTCCTTCCTCCTCCTCCTGCATAGCTCTGGCCCAGGGTGGTTCTTGGCTCAAAATTTCCTTGTCAAGGGAAGACTGGACCTGAATAAAGCAGAGGTCCTGCACAGCCCCTATCCCTGGAGACTCCAGCCAGTGTAAGTCTATCAACATCTTCCTTTTAGACACTAGGGGATGAGCGGAACAGAGTCTACCTAAGCTTATATAACCAGAATGCAATAGAGCCAGGTGCAAGCTCAATCTTGATGCCCCTTCTACCTACAGCCCTGAGAAGTTCTATTTGGTTTTGTGTTTTGAGATAAGATCTCATTATATAGTCCTGACTGGCCTCAAAGCAGAGATCCTCCTGCCTCAGCCTCCCAAATGCTGAGATTACAGGTATGTGTGTACCACCACACCCAGACCTCCACTAACCTGCAAAATGCCAGAGTGGAGGTATGGCTCAAGTGTTAGAGTGCCAGTCCTCAGCAAGAAAGCCAAGCAAGACTCTGAGTTTATGCCCTGTTCAATCTGATTTACTTAATACTATTAATAAAAATATGATTCTAAAATTTAAAGTGTAAACATTACTACTATCTAGAATTCATAGATTTTATTTGTTATATAAAACGAAAGAAGGTGTAACTTTTCTTTAGACATTACTACTGCAAGCTAGAGTCCACCAGAGTCCTAGAACTCTCACTTAGAAAGAAAGAGAAATCAAGGTAGACTTCCCAGAGGAGGTAATACTGACACGGTTTCAAACCGAACAACGTTCCAGATGGAATAGGTTATGTGAAGGCTGAGACCAGCAGCAAGATTCATTTAGGAAATGAAAAAAATAATCAACAACAAACCATCGCAAACAGCCAAGTACCTCTCCAGATAGTGGGAGGAAGAAGAGGCGGGACTGAATACTACAGGCTGACCCTGCCAGGATGGGACCTGGGAGGGATCTGTGAGTTGAGGCAGAGGAAGGGACAGTAGCCTGAGGATCTTCACGTGCAGGCACTTGGAGGAGGGAGGTCCAGGTCCCCAACCCCAGCGGAGAGCCATGGGGCACAGGCGGCGAGGGTAGGCGGCGCGGGTAGGTAGGTGAGGGTAGACGGAGGTAGGGTAGCAGAGGCTGTCCGGCGCCTCTCAAGCCCCCCGGTACGCGGCCTGATTGATGCCCGTGCGTGACCTGCGGATCTCCGTCTCTCCAAAGGGCGCGGGCCGAGGAAGCCTGGGGCTCCCGGTCCCCCGCGGGGCTGAGGACAGTTGTCCCTGACTGTTCTGTGGATCCAGATTGCAAAAGGAGCCCTGTGGTCCGTCCAGGCCCCTGCGCAGCTCGGCGTCTCCCAGGAGGCCCAGGGCCTGGGCAGGTGCTTGGCTCGGGTCCGCCGTGCCCAGGTCGGTGCGGAGCCCCAGGGTGGTTCTGGGGCGGGGCGGGGCGCCGCGCGGGCCCCCGGGCTCCGCGGCCCAGGGCGGGGGCGGCGCGATGCGGAAGTGCCCGGCCCGGCTCGGCGACCCGCGGGAGGCGCAGCTCTGCCAGGGCGCAGCTCGGCCCCGCCGCCGGGCCGCAGCTCCGGCACCACCGATCGGGCGCGGGCGCAGCGCGGACAGGTAGGTCCCGGGGGCTGCGTGCGGTTCCAGGGCCAGACCCGCGGTGGGGGTCGCCCCCGGTCCCTGCCGGCTCAGTCGTGGCACGCACCCCGCAGTGCCCTGCCGGGAGCGCCGGTGGGGTCCGCGCCCAGCCCCGGCTGGTGCCCGAGCTCGGGTGGGCACCCGCCGCAGGGCGCGCCGGATCAGCTTCTAAGGTGCCTTCCACGCCCAGGCCAGCTGGGGTGCTGGGCACCCGCCGCCATGCCTCCACGGGCGCCCCGAGGACCCCGGAGGCCGGGCTGGCGCGGTGGGCGCTGCGCCCCGGAGCGGGCTCGGACGCGTCTCTCCGTCCGCCTTCCCGTCGCCCACGACCAGGAGTGCCCGCGTCAGGGCAGGAGTCCGGGTGGTGCCACCGCAGAGCGAGGCCCCGACCTCTGTGTTCGGGGGCTTCCCCCATCCTGCCCCGTCCCCGGCCACCCCTCACCTCCTCGGGGTAAGAGGTGGAGGCTCCGAGCCGTCGCCCTCGCGGGGTCCCTAACGCCAAGGATGGGAATTAAGAGGGCCGAGAGTTTGGGGAACGGAGGCGCCCCGGCGCTCTGACTCGTAGCAAGAGTGGGAAACTACACGCCGGTGTTCCCAGAAGCTGAGAAGAAGCGCGGGGTGCAATGCTTCTTTGCACGGGTTGCTTTACGGCCTGCCCCGAACTTCAGAAGGAAACCATGAAGAACCTAAAAGTAGAGGGACAGGGACGCGCGAGGCCGCGAGGCGGAGGAGAGGCGAGGACCTCTGCCCCGCCCCGCACAGGTGTCTCCGGGACTAGGGGCCCCGGGAGCGGGGGTGGGGGCGGAGGGGGGGACTTTCCCCGGCCTTGGCCTGGCACAGCCGGGCGGGGCCGCCACCAGCCTCCGGACACTAACCATCGTCTGGCCTGGGGATGGCCCGGCGGGCTGTCGGGGTGGGGGCTGCCCCGGGGGTGGAAGGGACGTGCTGCGTTCCGCGGGTCAGCCGCGGGGGTCCAGCTTGGCCCTAGTTCCAGAGCTCGGGTAAGTAAACTGAACGGGTGCGGAGAGCTGGGGGTCCTCAGGTGTGTGTGCTCAGGTGTGTGTGGGGGGGGGCGGCGGGTTGAGGGGCTGCGCATCCGCCATCAGAGTGTCTAGGTCCTTGCTCTTTAGGCTTCCCACTACAGACTAGAGAAGTGGCGGGAAGTCACCCCCTTTTTGCCTAAAGGCTCTGTTCTGGGGTTTTCCCTTGCACCCTGGCCTTCCCCTGGGAGAAAACCGAGAGAGAGGCTTTTTCCTGCCACACCTGCCTCCCTGGCCTTAGCCTGTCTGCACTTCAAGGGAGCCAGGGCTCGGGTGTGTCAGCTCACCTGGAGAGAGCAGAGATTGAGAGTTAAGTTTGTTGCAGGGAACCCTTGGTCTGTTCTCTGAGCTGGGTATGGGGTTTGCAGGGAGACCTCAGACAAGGACGCAGCAGGGGCTGAAGCTAGGCCTCTACCTCCACTCCTGCAGCTTCTTCCCCTTGTTACCCCTGGTGCCCCTCTGTTCTGTTTCTGTGGCCTAGCCTAGGACTGTTTATTTATTTATTTATGTATCCACTTGTCACTGGGGCTTGAACGCAGGTCTACTGTCCCTTAGCCTTTTCACTGCTCAAGACTAGTGCTCTACCTACCACTTGAGCCACAGCTCCACTTCCTGCTTTTTGGTAGTTCACTGGAGATAAGAGTGTCACAGACATTCTTGCCAAAGCTGGCTTTATACCATGATCCTCAGATCTCAGTATCCTGAGTTGCTAGGATTACAGGTGTGGTTTCACCTGAAACTTTAATAGGGCCTTTGGGTGGGCTGTGGGGTCTCCCTGTCCAGCAAGAGCTAAAGTGCTGGGTGGTTTTCTGCTTGACCCTCTTGTAGGAGCTCCCTCAGGTCTTCAGCAACCCTCATCCTTTTTTTTTTTTTTTTTTTAACATTTCCACGGAAGGTGGTGAAAGTACTGTTGTTTCCCCCTTTTTCCAGGAATCAAATGAACAAACCTGGGTCTGGGGCTGTATACATCTCACCCCAAGCCGCCAGACCCCAGAGAAAGCAGAAGTGAATAGACAAACTCAGGGCTGTCAGACAAGGATTGGTCTGAATGAGATCTAAGCTTGCATGGGAGGAAGCTTATGGGAAATGTATGCCAAACCTGGATCTGCTCAGGGAAAGGTCCAGGAGGAACTGGCTGTGAGCAGAGCTCCTCTGTGGCCTGGTAGACACTCTTACGCCTGGAGGTGAGGCTTGTGGTAGGAGCCCCCTCTTCATACCCTGTCCCTGAAAGGATGGCAACTTTCTAACACTGAGACCAGAAGAATAATTTCAAAACCATGCTCTGAATTAAGCAGCAGTGTCACCACGGGCCAGAGAGCTGGACTGGCCCCTGGTTCCTTGGTCCTGGCAGCTAGGACCTTACTTAGACCTTTCTGGTCTCAGCTACATCACTCTGGCCAGCTGTCTAGCTGTGAGCATGATTGTGTGTGGCTCATCCACTAACCTGCCCACCCCTCTGTAAACAACACACTTTCTTACCGTCCTCCCTCATACAGCCAGAATTACATGCTGCTGGCCACCATCACCCCTCTATCCTAGGACTAACCAAGGTCTTTTAGGGAGTCACAGAATAAAAATGTGGGAGACTAAGACTACCCAATGCTGTGAGCTCACCAAGAGTGTTAAGCTTGTCAGCAGGCTTGGGATGTGGGAGTTGGGCTAGAGGTTGACAGGTTGGAAATTTGGCCTTGGCACCCACTAATGGATTTTCTCTGCATCCCCCTCCCTCTCTTCAACAGGCTTGGTGAGTCAGCTTTGGAGTAGTCCCATTAGGCCATTTTCATTTCCCCTGGGGCAGGGTGGAGGCTGGGGCAGAAAGAGGAACTGAGCCACTGATTTCTTAGGCCTGGGGGCTGGGCTGGGAACATCCTCTTCCCTCCACGAGGCTGGCCTTACTCTAATGGGTGTCTGGCCGTTGAACTGGACACTACTCTGACACCTGTAGAGGGACACTGGCATTCTGGAGATGGTTTGTAGCAGCCACAACCTAAAGCAGTACCAGGTGGGGAACTTCAGGGGAAACCATGGCTTGGTGCTACAACACCCAAATAGATGTTCAATGTCTGGTTCCTTTTTTGTGGAGCAACAGAGTCTCCTCTGAGGACAAGTGGTATGATGGATTCTTTCTGTCTCTGACCCTGGAGTCACAGAGCTAAAGCCCAAGGGCGCTGGAAAAGGAGAGAACATGCCTAGGATGAGGAGGGACAATCGGGGGACCAGACTGTGACCTGTTTCAGGTTCTGGGTCTGGAGAGAGGATGAGCAGGTGGAAGGGAGGGTAAGGGGTTTCTTGTGTCTGATGTGACTAGCAAGGCTGAGGCTGTGAGCTGGGAAGGGGTGCATCCCCAAGGGAAGCCATTAGACCTGTGCACTTCTAGCATCCATTTGCAGCTCAGGTTGGAAAACCACTAGAGGTGTCATGTGTGATAAATATGGGAAGGAAGGGTCGGAATAAGAAAGGAGAAAATTGATAGCCTCAGAGAGGCAAGATCTAAGCCTATCCTTGCTAAGAGATGGATGAGATTTCTCTAAAGGGTCAAAGGTGTGTGTGGAGGGGGGAGGAAATGGGGAGAACTTCATCCCCGAGGGAATCTAGAATCAAAGCTCAACCTGAGAAGTAGATGTAGAAACATGCTTTATTTGCCTATTCTCCTTTTGTCTAAGGCTAGGTTTCCTAGAAGCCTAAGATGGAATTATTATTATTATTATTATTATTATTGTCTGTCCTGGGGCTTGAACTCAGAGCCTGGGCCCTGTCCATGAGAGACTCTATACTCAAGGCTCTACCACGTGAGCCATAATGCCACTTCCTGCTTTTTCTGAGTAATTTGTTGGAGATAAGAGTCTCCTGGGGACTTTTCCTGCCCCAGCTGGCTTTGAACCACAATCCTCAGATCTCAGCCTCCTGAATAGCTAGGATTACAGGCATGAGCTAACAGCACCCAACTAGATGGAATCTTTTTTTTTAAAGAGGATTTGTCTATAGATTCCAGGGCCTTCTCAAGGGAAGAAAAGTGAGAAAAATGGAGGGAAAAGTTGAGCAGGAACAAGATGAGTTCGTGCTGGGAGACACATCTGATAGCACAGGAGCTTTACTCTTGGCCTTAATGCCAGGGATCCAGGCTTCCCTCCTAGCTGGGCCCTCCCTGGCTCTGGGCCGCCTCTCAGAGTGAGACAGCTAGTGGTGACTGAAGGAAGCAAAGCTCAGTGATGTTAGCAGCAGCCTGGTAAAGGGCACTGAAGAAGGGTGCCCAAGACATCCACCAGTGACGACATTCCCTCCCCAACACAAAGCACAGACTCAGTGACACTCAGTGACAAGAAAGCTGAGAGTTAAAAAGGACATGTGGCTTTTTTTTTTTTTTTTTTGGTCAGTCGTGGGGCTTGAACTCTGAGCATGGGAGCTGTCCCTCAGCTCTTCAGGCTCAAGGCGAGCGCTCTACCACTTGAGCCACAGCGCCACTTCTAGTTTTCTGGTGGTTCATTGGAGATAAGAGTTTCTTGGACTTTCCTGCCTGGGATGGCTTTGAACAGCAGTCCTCAGATCTCAGCCTCCTGAGTAGCTAGGATAACAGTTGTGAGCCTCTGGTCCCCGGCTGGACATGTGGCTTTGAGCACCTGGATAGATAGGAGAGACTGTTTCTCTTGGCCCTTCATGCCAGGGCAGTGAGCTCTATCTTGCTTCCTTCAGCAGATCGTGTGGCCATGAACCAGCCGGCCCCTGGGGTTCCCCCACCACCCCGCCGTGTGCGGCTGAAGCCCTGGCTGGTGGCCCAGGTGAACAGCTGCCAGTACCCAGGGCTACAGTGGGTCAATGGGGAAAGGAAATTCTTCTACATCCCCTGGCGCCATGCCACAAGGCACGGCCCAAGCCAGGATGGAGACAACACCATCTTCAAGGTAAGCCTTAGACAGAGTGCTGCCTGGATCTCTGAGGCATTTCATCCCCAGAAGAGGGACACACATGTCCACACATTTCCTGGAGGCTAGTCACTCTCCCAGCTACCAAGCTTGGTAGAATGCTAGCTTTGAGCAAAAAAAATGCTCAGGACAGTGCCTAGGCCCTGAGTTCCAGCCCCAGGATCAGCACCAAAAGAAAAAGTATCAGAGACTTTCCTGCCTAAGCTGGGTTTGAATGGAGATCCTCAGATCTCAGCCTCCTGAGTAGCTAGGATTACAGGCGTGAGCCACCAGTGCCTGGCTTCCATGTTGCTTTAATGACTGTTTACTATTCCACCATGCACTCTCTCCTAACTCCTACCCTTTATTTGTTTTAAATGATTTCTTTGGGACTACCACCTACAGTTTAAATTTGCAGGGCCAAACAGAACGTTTGCTTTGAAAACTTTATATACATATTTTCAGATAGGCATATACTTGCAACAGAATAACTCTCTTGGCCCTTGACCCTTTTTAAACTTTTTATTCAAAACCATTTCTTATTTTTAAATAGATAACATAGTCACTCAATTAAAAAGTAAGAGGTGTGCTGGATGCTGGTGGCTCTTGCCTGTAATCCTAATTACTCAGGAGGCTGAGATCTAAGAATTCCAGTTTGAAGTCAGGGTGGGTACACAGTTAAACAGCAAAGCTGCAAGTAGAGGTATTGCTCAACTGGAAAGCACTAGCCTTGATTGAAAAAGCCAAGCAAGAGCATGAGGTCCTGAGTTCAACCTCCAGTATAGAAATCAATAAATTAAAAGATGTGAAATTATTTACAGCAAACAATCTCCTCCTCACCTGTCTAGAGCCACCTGCCCCTTTCTAGAGGCTGCAGTGTAACGAGGGTCTTATTTATCCTTCCTGAGCCATTTTTTTGTGCATATATAAGTAAATACCTATTCTTTCCCCACTTCTCACAAAATTCTAGTGGTATAACACTCTCTGTACACTTCATATTTCTTGTAGATTGCATGTCAGTATATGAAAAACTCAGTCCTTTTTTCCTCCTACATGTTCCATTCTATGAGTTTGCCATAATTTAACCAGCCTCCCCACCCCCACCCCGCCTCACCCAAATGGACATTGGGTATTTGGGATCTTTTACTTTTACAAATGGTACTGCAATAAAATAATCTGTATGTGAAAACTTTTTTTTTTTTTTAATTTTACAGAAATCAAATAGGTTAGCTGGTGGTTTACACCTGTAATCCTAGCTGAGGATTGTGGTTCAAAGCCAGCCAGGTCAGGAAAGCCTATGAGACTCTATTTCTAATTAGCCACAAAAAAGCTGGACGTGGAGGTGTGGCTTAAGTTGTAGAGTGCCAGTGTTGAGTAGAAAAAAATGCTAAGGGACAGTGCCCAGGTCCTGAGTTCAAGCCCCAGTTCCAGTGCATGTGTGTGCATGCCTGTGTACATGTGCACGTGCGCACATACACATGTGCACGCACACACACACACACATACACATATACATAGAGCTAGGTTAAAGGGTAGAAACATTTGCATTCCTGACATTCCCAAATTGGCATCCAAAATAATAATGATAGGAAATACAAAGCTCTGCATTCCATCCTAAACATCATCATCATCATCACCATCACCATCACCATCACCATCATCATCATCATCATCATGGTAATAGCTGAGACACCCAGCCTGCTCTTTTGAGTGTTCTATTGGCATTGACCCTTTGAGTTCCCACTGCCACCTTGTAAATAGGTACAGTGAGGAGGAGGTAGTGACATGACCAGTATGTAGCTGGCACATTCCATCTACGAACCCAGAGCTGGGAAGGTGGCTCAGTGGTAGAGTGCTTGCCTTGCATGCATGAGGCCCTGGGTTTGATTCCTCAGCTCCATATAAGCAGAAAAACGCCAGAAGTGGTGCTGTGGCTCAAGTGGTAAAGTGCTAGCCTTGAGCTGAAGAGTTGAGGGACAGTGCCCAGACCCAGAGTTCAGGCCCCATGACCGAAAAACAACAACAAAACCAGCCTGGCTCCAGATCATAAGCCCTTATCTACCTCCCTAAAGGTAGTTGTTCATTGTCCTTAAGAGATTGTACCTCACTTAAGAAACAAAGAACTCCCATTCATCTGGTTGAACCACTACTAAATATCCCCATGCTGCTGATCACATATATGGTATATAACAATGTAAACACCGTTATATGTTACAGACTGTGATAGACAATTTGCTTCAGGAAAGTTAGAATGAACTTGTGACTTTAAATGAGCATCATTATTCCACAATACTGTGAATTTCCAGAAATTAAGTAATCACTTAATCACAATCAAAAAAAAAAAAAAAAAAGAACCTCGGGGAAGGGAGGGAGGGAGGGGATGGTAGGGGGAAAACATGGAGGGGGTAACAATGTTCAAGAGGAAGTGTACTCATTACCTCACTCATGTAACTGTAACCCTCTGTACAGTATCTTTACAATAAAAAAAAAAGAGAGATTGTACCTCATCTGCAGCGCTGCAGATGCCCACAAGGCACACAGGTATCAGTGAGCTGGTTTGAGCCCTGACGGCTGAAGAAGGCTGGGTCTTATCCTCTTCACGTGGCTCTCAGCTCAGCGAGGCTCTGTCTACTGCTGGTGTCTCAGCAACAATGCCTGTAGGACCAGAGGTTGGCTGAGGCCTTGATGAGGGGTGAAGCTTTCTCTGTGACCAGCTGTCTTTTCTTCCTACTGCAGGCCTGGGCTAAGGAAACGGGAAAATACACCGAGGGAGTGGATGAGGCTGATCCAGCCAAGTGGAAGGCCAACCTGCGCTGTGCCCTCAACAAGAGCCGTGACTTCCAACTCATCTATGATGGGCCCCGGGACATGCCACCTCAGCCCTATAAGATCTACGAGGTCTGCTCCAATGGGCCTGCCCCCACAGGTATCATGCCCAGCCCCTGGGAGGTGGTGCTGTGACCTCCTGGGCGCAGGAAGTTACAGCATTAACAGTTGTCCAGAGAATGACTGCTGGGGCTCTGCGAAATCATTATCCCAGGACTCCCAGAAACTGCTGGGAATGGAGTCTGGGCCTTGGATGCTTCCTCCCCTTGCCCTTGTCCTGGGTTTTAGGAGAGGTTCTTACTGCTTCTTAGAAATGGTGACCTTAACCTCACCTTATGTTCAGGAAGCTTTGAGAAGGGCAATAACTCCATCTGAAGTACTGGGAAAGCTTTTAGTTGCCCAAGATAGAACCCTGGACTGGCCTGGCTCCTGCTTCATCACTGATTCCTTTCCTGTCCTGCTTTTCTTTCCCTTTCTGTACAGAGTCCCAGCCCACTGAGGATTACTCTCGGTGTGCAGGAGAGGAGGAAGAGGACGAAGAGGAAGAGGTACATGGGGCAGGGAGTGGGGAGAGGACCATACTTACCTGAGCTTGCCTGCCCTGGCCACTGACACAGGCTGGCCCTGGTAGTCTCTACTAGCCCACCCTGAGTAGTCTCCTTGTCTGGATCCCACTGTTCTCTATACCTCTTTTTTGGGGGTTGTCCTCTTTTGGGATTCTGAAGGATAGGAAGAGTACACACTTTAGCCCTTCCCTGGGACTTGGTTGTTACATAGTGGGTCATACATTGTCAGACTGACTGACCCTCATGCTATCGGGCTTACAGGTACTGCTATCTGCAGAAGGCAAATGAGGAAGCAGAGTTTTCATTCTGCCGGGATGGCAACACTGGGATGGGAGGCAGGGTCTGGCCTGGTGGAGCTGGAGCTGAGGGAATTGTCTTTAACACGTGATCCATTTGTAACCTGTCCTCCCTTCCCTCCTGTTTCCCTTTCAGCTCCAGAGGATGTTACCAAGCCTGAACATCACAGGTAGGGCTGGGAGGTGGTGGGGTTGGGGGTGATCTAGCTTAAGAAGTAACAGGTACCATAATACCCAGGGGAGGCTGGGGGGTGTCAGTTGGGAGGTGCTGGACCCTGGGGGCAGTACCAGTACCAGTACCAGTTGTGTCACTCCACCCTCCACAGAAGCAGTGCAGCCCGCTCCTTCCATGGCAGCCTTACCCAAAGATATCAAATGGCCACCTGCTCTCCAGCCACCTGTTGGGCTGTGTCCCCCTGACCCAGACCCCAGCTGCCCAGCCCCTCCCCCTGGCATTCCTGCTGGCTTTGGGCAGCTTCTCCCAGAGTCCTTGGCTGACAGTACACCTGCAATGAGTGAACAACTCCTGCCTGACCTGCTGATTAGCCCCCACATGCTGCCTTGTAAGTGGGCTGAGAGGGCTGGAGGGCGGGGGAATAAAATAGAATGTGGGGCAGGGTTTCAAGAAAGGCCAAGGGTGGTGGAGAACAAGCCTTGTGTCAGTCTTCCCTGAGAGGGGGAACTGGGGCGGCTGCCATATGGCTGAAGAAAGCAAGCTATGGGGCTTTGTAACCTGCTTCTCTGCCCCACAGTGACAGACCTGGAGATCAAGTTCCAGTACCGAGGGCGGCCACCTCGAGCCCTCACCATCAGCAACCCACAGGGCTGTCGCCTCTTCTACAGCCAGCTGGAGGCCACCCAGGAGCAAGTGGAACTCTTTGGCCCTGTGACCCTGGAGCAAGTGCGCTTCCCTAGCCCCGAAGATATCCCCAGTGACAAGCAGCGTTTTTATACAAACCAGCTGCTAGATGTCCTGGACCGGGGCCTCATCCTCCAGCTGCAGGGCCAGGACCTATATGCCATCCGCCTGTGCCAGTGCAAGGTGTTCTGGAGTGGGCCCTGCGCTGCAGCCCATGACTTGTGCCCCAACCCCATCCAGAGAGAGGTCAAGACTAAGCTTTTCAGCCTGGAGCAGTTTCTTAATGGTGAGCCTCACATCATGCTCCTCCCGGCCACCTTTTGCCTAGAACACAGTTCTAGCCTCTGACTAGAGGCCTTGATCTTGATGCAGAGCTCATCCTGTTCCAGAAGGGCCAGACCAACGCTCCACCGCCTTTCGAGATTTTCTTCTGCTTTGGGGAGGAGTGGCCTGACCGCAAGCCCCGGGAGAAGAAGCTTATTACTGTACAGGTGTGTCCCCAGCCCCTCTCTGCTTGAAAGCTGGGTCCTTGGTCCAGAGTGGAGAGTAGGCACTTCTGGGCAGTGAGGATAACCAAGGCTTAGGGTTGGCAGTGGCAATCTACCACCTGCCCCTGGTGGATACCTTCAGGCACCATTAGATCTGGGGGACCTGCCAATTCTCTGTTCTGTCTCCTCTTTTCCCCACAGGTGGTGCCTGTGGCAGCTCGGTTGCTACTCGAGATGTTCTCAGGGGAGCTTTCTTGGTCTGCTGACAGCATCCGGCTACAAATCTCAAACCCAGACCTCAAAGACCATATGGTAGAACAATTCAAAGAGCTCCATCACATCTGGCAGTCCCAGCAGGGGTTGCAGCCTGCAGCCCAGGCACCTCCTGTGGCAGGGCTTGGTGCTGGCCAGGGCCCCTGGCCCATGCACTCAGTTGGCATGCAATAGTGAGAGTGGCTGGCTGTCTTCCTGGGCAGCTGTATGGACTGAAAGAGCAATGTGGCAGCCCCGCCGGCCTGGCTGGCTATCAGGTCCTACCTTTGGATCTCCTGGAAGTGGATTTGGGCCAAGGATAAAGAGGCTTGCTGTTCCTGAAAATCTTTGTTCTAACAGTTCTATCTTCCTTAGGCTGGCTTCCCCTGTGCTTTGGAGAAACTCAGCCAGTATCCGCAGTGAGCAAAGAGTGCCCCAACACTGGGCCTGATTATACAGGGTAAATCCTGAATGGCCCATACTTACTATTGCCCTATTGCCTCTGGCAAAAAGAGCCAAGGAGTGGGCCACGTCCTGCCAATAGGGTTTCTGTAGAGTATAGGCCTGATTTAGAGGTTTCTTAGTTTGAGTCTTGCTTCCATACCTTTCTTCCTCTGAGATGGCTCTGAGCCTTTAAATATTAGCAGACAAGGCCAGTACCTAACCCCCTTCTTCAGTCTAAGAAAATGGAGTACAAAGAATTTTATGTAGCTTTAAAATTAGTATGTTTTTTCTGCTGATACTGGGGCATGAACTCAGATCCTTATGCTCTTGCTTATCTTTTTTTTTTTTTTTTTTTTGGGTCCGGTCGTGGAACCTGAACTCTGGGCCTGGGTGCTGTCCCTCAGCTCTTCAGCTCAAGGCTAGCGCTCTACCACTTGAGCCACAGCGCCACTTCCGGCTTTTTTCTTTTTGCTTATGTGGTGCTGAGGAATCGAACCCAGGGCCTCATGCATGCAAGGCAAGCACTCTACCACTGAGCCACCTTCTCAGCCCGCTCTTGCTTAACTTCTTCCATTCAAGGCTCATGTTCTACAACTTAAGCCACACTACCACTTCCTGCTTTTGTTGTTAATTGGAGGTAGAATTTCTTCAATTTGTCTGCCGACCTGGACTTCAACCAAGGATCCTCTTTCCTCAGCATCCTGAGTTGCTAGAATTAATAAATGCTAAAAGCAGGCCTAGCTGTTTCTTTATTTTTCCCAGGGTCAGTGGCTCCCATGTTGTTATATCAGACTCTCTTTCAGATGCAAGCCCTCTGGCTGGGGCCTCCCTTCCAGCTAGTGAGTCAGCTGGGCCTCCATAATCACTTGATTGGCTTTGCTTCCTGAAGGAAGAGAGCTAAGGCAAGGGTATAGAATATTGGTTATGCAGTCTAAACAGCTCAAATCAACTTTCCCATAGAAAATGGTAAAAAAAAAAAAGGAATGCTAGGATTCTAGCTACATTTTGGGACTACTATAATCTATTATCTCCATGTATATTCATGTGCCACTAAATTAGAACACTGCTCACAAATAGCTAGCTCATCAAACGAACCTGGCTCATAGGTCTAATTTTTTGTCCTGAGCAACTGTTGTTTTATCTTAATATAGACGATTTTAAACATTAATGACAATAGGGAGAATGCTATACAATTCCCTGTAATGTCAATGATTTCAATTTATCATTTTTTTTTTTGGGTCCGATCATGGGGCCTGAACTCTGGGCCTGGGCGCTGTCCCTCAGCTCTTCAGCTCAAGGCTAGAACTCTACCACTTGAGCCACAGCGCCACTTCCAGCTTTTTTCTTTTTGCTTATGTGGTGCTGAGGAATCAAACCCAAGGCTCAGGCATGCAAGGCAAGCGCTCTACCACTGAGCCACCTTCCCAGCCCCCAATTTATCATCTTTCTCATTGACATCCGCATCCATACTTCTATCCATACCCTAGGATTTTGAAGCAAATTCTAGAATAATGTACAAATATTCAGCATGTATCTCAAAGATGTTTTTCTTGTGGTATTGGAAATTGAACCTAGTGTCTCACAATTTTTTCTTTTTTTTTCCGGTCGTGGGGCCTGAACTCTGGGCCCAGATGCTGTCCCTCAGCTCTTCAGCTGAAGGCTAGCACTCTACCACTTGAGCCACAGCACCACTTCTGGCTTTTTCTGCTTATGTGGTGCTGAGGAATCGAACCCAGAGCCTCATGCATGCAAGGCAAACACTCTACCACTGAGCCACCTTCCCAGCCCATCTCACAAACGTTAAACAGACACTACTGAGCTACTCCCCCTGTTCCTGTTTTTTTTTTAATCTAAAATACTTGATAAAATATATATAAATGTGGCCGGGCGCTGATGGCTCACGCCTGTAATCCTAGCTACTCAGGAGGCTGAGATCTGAGGATCGCGGTTCAAAGCCAGCCCAGGCAGGAGAGACCGTGAGACTCCTATCTCCAATAAACCACCAGAAAACCGGAAGTGGTGCTGTAGCTCAAGTGGTAGAGCGCTCGCCTTGAGCTGAAGAGCTGAGGGACAGTGCCCAGGCCCAGAGTTCAAGCCCCACAACCGACAAAAAAAAAAAAAAAAAATATATATATATATATATATATATAAATGTAATTGAAATTTATTCCCTTCCAATTTGAAGAAACAGCATTTTAAAAATTGTTGTTGGTTGTGGGGCTTAAACTCAGGGCCTGGGCACTGTCCCTGAGCCAGTGTTCAAGGCTAGTGCTTTACCACTTGAGCCATAGCACCACTTCCAATTTTTGTTTTTGAGTGGCTAATTGGAGATAGAATCTCGCTGGGACTTTTCTGCCTGGGGTTGCCTTCAAACCACAATCCTCCCATCTCAGCCTCCTAAGTAGCTAGGATTACAGGCATGAGCCACCAACATCCAGTTCAGCATTGTTTTTTTTATTGTATCTCTGTTAATGTATTTTTGCCTCCTATATTTCTTTAAAATGTTTAGATCTAGCCTCCATATTACAGATATTTGATTAGAGTCATGTTTTTGATTTGATGAACAGTTAGTGAGTTGAGTCTCCACTGTTATTGTCAGTTAACTTTGGAATCTAATTCTAAAATTTGGGTTTCTGGGCCAAAAGATATATATTAAGTATATAGTTTTGCTAGATAAATGTATAAGAACAACTTGCTTCTTGTTTCCCCACACTCTCTTCCATAAAGTACATTGTAGCACATTGTCAACTGGATTTTTGACAATCTCTCATGAGCAAGGCTGAAAAGTTTTTCATATGATTAAGTGGCATGTTTACTTGGTTAAACAAACAAACAAAAAACCTAAACATCGTTGGAGATGTAGCACAGATTCTGTGCTTGGCTAATATGGATCTCCAGCCCTACCAAGACAATAAAAATAAATCAATAAAAATAATTAAAGCTGGGTATGGGGGTACATGATGCCTATATTCCAAGCACTTGATAAGGTGAGGGAGAAAGATTCTAGGTCAGCGTTGGCTACAGTAAGAACCTGTATCAAAAAAGAATTTTAGGAGCTGAGTGTCGGTGGCTCATGCCTGTAATCCTAGCTACTCAGGAGGCTGAGATCTGAGGAGCACGGTTCAAAGCCAGCTCAGGCTCTTATCTCCAATAAGCCACCAGGAAACCAGAAGTGGCGCTGTGGCCCAAGTGGTAGAATGCTGAAGAGCTCAGGGACAGTGCCCAGGCTCAGAGTTTAAGCCCTACAAATATATATATATATATATATATATATATATATATATATATATACAGAGAGAGAGAGAGAGAGAGAGGAGAGAAAGAGAAAGAGAGGGGCTGGGAAGGTGGCTCAGTGGTAGAGCGCTTGCCTTGCATGCCTGAGGCCCTGGGTTCGATTCCTCAGCACCACATAAGCAAAAAGAAAAAAGCCGGGAGTGGCGCTGTGGCTCAAGTGGTAGAGTGCTAGCCTTGAGCTGAAGAGCTGAGGGACAGAGCCCAGGCCCAGAGTTCAGGCCCCATGACTGGACCCCCAAAAAAAAAAAAGAAAGAAAGAGAAAGAGAGAGGGAGGAGAGAGGAGAGAGGAGGTAGGAGAGGAGGGAGGGAGGAGAGAGGTGAGGGAGGAAAGAGGAAGGAGAGGGAGAGAGGAGGCAGAGAAGAGAAGAGAAGAGGGAGGGAGGGAGGGAAGGAGGGAAGGGAGAGAGAAAATTTTGGGAGAGTTGCTAAATTAAGAGTTCTTGTATGGGCTGGGGAGGTGGCTTAGTGGTAGAGTGCTTGCCTGGCATGCATGAAGCCCTGGATTCAATTCCTCCCTACCACATAAACAGAAAAGGCTGGAAGTTGCAGAATGCTAGCCTTAAGCAAAAGCAGCTCAGGGATAGCGCCCAGGCCCTGAGTTGAAGCCCCAGGACTGACAAAAAAAAAAGAAAAAAAAGTTCTCGGATGGCCCACACCATTTTCCCAGTTGCTATTTCTTTTTGGTGCTGGTATTGAGTTTAAACTCAGGGTCTGGGTGCTATCCTTTGCTTTTTGTTCAAGATTAACGCTCTACCACTTGAACCACAATCCTCTCTCCTTCTGAATAGTAAGATTACAGATGTGAGCTACCAGTGCCTGGCCTTAATTGCTAATATATTACTACAGCATTTTTCTTTTCTTTTTTTTTGGCCAGTCACGAGGCCTAAACTCTGGGCCTGGGCGCTGTCCCTCAGCTCTTTAGCTCAAGGCGAGAGCTCTACCACTTGAGCCACAGTGCCACTTTGGGTTTTCTGGTGGTTAATTGGAGATGAAAGTCACACAGACTGTCCTGCCTGGGCTGGCTTTGAACTGTGACCTCCTGAGTAGCTAGGATTACAGGTATGAGTCACTGGTACCCAGTTTACTACAGCACATTTTGGTACAGCTAATTAAGAATATGGGCATGTAGTTACTAAGCTCCCTACTTTCCTCAGATTTCATTATTTTTACTGTCTTTTGTTCCAGGATGTCATCCAAGGCAGTTTCTAGCTTTTCTTATGTCTGATAATATTGAAGGTCTTCAGTACTTGTCAGGCCTTTTTAGAATCCCTCTTGGATTTATCTGATGTCTTCTTTGACCACTTGGCTGAGGTAGTTCCACTGCTCTATTCTATACTCATATATAGTAGGGTTCAGAATTGTAACCTGTATATTCTCATGTACTTTGCCAATTAGACCACAATTCTATTTTCTCATGTACTTTGCCAGCTAGACCATAGTTCTTGTGTACAGTTCATTTTAGTGTGTGTGCCAGTACTTGGGCTTGAACTTGGCCTCAAGGCTCTCTACCACTTGAGCCACATCTCCACTTCTGGCTTTTTGCTGGTTAATTGGATAGAATCTTAGGATGTCTGCCCTGGCTGGCTTCAAATTCGATGTGATTCTCAAGTCTCTAAAGTAGCTATTATGATTTCTGGCATGCACCATGGACATGACTTTTAGCCATGTATTTATGTGTGTGTGGGGGGGGGGCCCTCCCTCCCACACTATCCCACTAGCCTGTGAAGTTTGATTTCTTTTTTATATTTTAACTGTTCCTCTTCCAATCTGCTTCACTCCCTTAATTACTTGCCTCTTTCTTGGGGGCATCTGAATCTGCAACCTTGATGCCAGGTAGAGCAGGAAACTGAAGATAAATGGAAGGTTAAAAAAACCCTATCAATGTGGCCACTGACAAAATTCATTCTTGATTCCCTGCCGCCCCTGCTCCCCTCCCTGCCACTGGTCCTGGGGCTTGAAACAGGGCCTGGGTGCTGTGAGTGAGCTTGAGCTTTTTTTTTTGTCGGTTGTGGGGCTTGAACTCTGGGCCTGGGCGCTGTCCCTCAGCTCTTCAGCTCAAGGCGA